AGGCCTGCCGGGCAGGCCCCTGTCTCTGAGCTGCGCCCCAGCCGGCTGCGTTCACATCCGGGGTAGCACTTCGCTGGGTTTTCGTGTTCTAGAAAGGTGTCGCAGTTTTTGCATTCACTTATTGTTTGAAGCCTACGATTGTGCCAGTGAAGAACCAGGCCAAAACACGAAATAGGCCCATCCCAAGGCGCTGACACTGTCGTCCAGGGAAGGACAGTAGTCACGTAGGTGGTGGATATTGTGTCTCAGAGTGTGACGAGGGCCACAAAGAAGAAGGATGCAGGGAGGAGCAGCAGGTGGCCAGGGCTTGTGCAGTGGGGGCGGCGCCATGGTTTTGGTTAGGATGGTTGAGGCAGGCCCAAGTGGAAACTCAGGTGACATCTGAACAGAGACCTGAACGTGGGTGAGGGAGTGAGCCGGGTGGATGTGGAGGGAGAGCATGCTGGGAAAGGGATGTGTGGGTTCCTGGGTGGGTAGGGCCATCGCGAGGCAGTACATCCGAGAAGCAGCTGTCTCCCTGTCCCTCTCAGGCCACGTGTTCCCACGTAGAAGTGGCTGATGGCTGTGGTGGAGGCCTGCTGGTCCTTTGCTGGTGTGGCTTTTGGTGCGTGGATGGGCCCAGAGGTATGACAGTCCACTGTGCCTGACACAGCCCTGCCTCCTTTCCATGGGGACAGTGACTTCTCCCTGCGCCCTCAGACGCGGGTAGCTTTGGAAAACGGCTGCTCTGTGTTCCATGGCCCGGCACATGTCATGTTGTGGCCCAGCATTCCGATGGTGACATGAACTGGTGGCTTTCCCGAGTCCTTTGGAGGCCAGGTGCTGTAGCCTCAGGACTAGAGACTCTGACCCCCTGTTCAGTGGTCTGAAGGCTGGGGCAGCAGGCATGGCCTGTGCAGGTGACCCCTGGGGCTGGCCCTGGGCCCTGTGCTGGGCGCTCCACACCAGGCCCGTGTCGGGCAGCTCTGGAGCCAAGAAGTCGGGATGGCCGTGGAGGCTCCACAGTTGAGTGCAGTCGTCCTCGTGGCTGTTAGCGTGGGGCTTTGCTGTCTCTTGTTTTCCATTTGACATACTTTTTTGCAAAAACAATAAACCATCTCGCCTGGGTGTGCTCCTTTCCTTCCGGCTGGGCCTGGCCAGAGCCCAGGCAGCAGTTTGGCAGTGGCCTGGCCCCATGGGCTCCCATTCTCTGGCGACAGAGGGTGAGTTCTGTTGTCTGCTAATTGGTCCTGTGGCTGTTGTGTTTCATTCATGCCTGGGCTGGCAGCCTCTGCGCCTGGTGTCTGTCAGGCTTGGTGAAACCACCACTTAGGGCTATAGCGTGAGCCAGGGCATCTGCTCCTAGGACTGAAAATAGCCGTGGCCGGGACTCAGGAAGAAATCGGGTCTCTGTCTCACAGCCCTGTTCATTCTGCACGCAGCTGAGTTTGAGTCAAAATTCAGCTGCCGTTGGAACAAAAGAACTTCTGTCCCCACAAGGCCCCGGCTGGGGTGTGAAAGGCCTCACAGCGAGGCCAGCCTTCTGCGAGCAGATGTCACAGCTTGGGCTGCACTTGGAACTGCCACTTTCCTGTCACCCATGTTGGAGGCTCCCGAAGCCCCAAGTGCTTCCATTTTGTAGCGTGAAGTACAAGTGTCACAGTGGACGCGCGGTATTTTTAGGCTGTCATCGCACTTGGCATGACTCCGGCTAGTTGAAAGCACTTCCTGATCCAGCAGTGCAGCTCTGACTGCACGGAGGTTAGGAGGTTTCTGGGAAGAAGCGCTGCACTGCCCTCTGGGGCCGTGCGGGCCTCTGGTCCTTCCTGGCTACTCCCCATCACGAGGACCTCTGTGCCTGTGTGGGGCTCAGGACGCGCGTGGGAGGCCGAGAGCAGCACGCCCTTCCCCAGGGCTGAGCCTGGCTCCTGAACTCCAGAGCTTTGCCTCCTCTGCGCCCCCTTCCTTTCCTTCAAGCCCTGTGTACCCCTTGTGCTGGGCCAAGCGGTGTTCAGAGGGAGGGCGCCTTGTCTGGGCCGAGTGCCCTGCTCCTCAGGCTGCCAGAGACTTCTGCTCCCCTTAGCTTACCGTCTTCCCCAAGTTTTCTTGATTTTCATTTATTCCTACCACCCTGAATCCCAGCTTTGAACGTGGAGGTGAGCTCTGAGTGAAACTTGGTGCGGCTTTCTTGGGTACGGGTTTGGGGTGGTGCTGGGGATTGAGCTGCTGTGCCACCAGCCCTGGGCGCGGTCTGTGAGTGGAGCGCACATTTCCCTTTTCCGTGCGTGTTTGTAGAAATGTGCAGCTGTGGGCAGCCTGGGTGCCTGCGCCACGTGGCCCTGGACCTGCCTTCTGCGTACCCGCGCTCACGGGTGACAGGTGCTGAGGAAGGCGGGATGCGTTAGCCTCACACGTGTCTCTGGACGTTTGGGGCACGCGTTCTGCAGCAGTGCTGCTCAGGAGATGGGACCCGTATCGAGTCCCCCCTTTGCTCTGCTCTGCTGGTCTTACTTTTCTTATTGAAAGATGGAAGTTACGGCAGGTGGTGGCAGGTGTGGTGGCCCGTGCCTGTCATTCCAGCTACGCTGGGGGCGTTGGTAGAGCACCATGCTCCAAGTCCGGCCCCGGGTAAAAAAGGAGGAGCCCCAACTTGAAAAATGATTCAGCAGGGAAGGACTGGGTGGCGTGGCTCAAGGGGTAGAGGCCTTGAGGCCCTGAGTTCAAACTCCCCAGGGCCACCAGAAACGGGGAGATGGAACCAGTAAGGACGAGGGCTGCCAGGCATTGACTGTCGTCGGGTTGTGTAGCTGGCAGCGGGCTATGGTTGGACCCCGGGTGTGTCCAGTGCTCTCTATCCCACTCTGGTTTCCGGGTCGCCAGTGGCCGGCGTGGGTTTGGCCTCTGTGTGCAGGGTGAGGCCCTCTTCGGGAGCAGCCAGACCTTAGCATGTCTCTTCATCCTTCAGGACTCCAGAAGACCTTTCCAGATTCGTGGTGGAGCTGCAGCAGCGGGAGCTGGCCCTGAAGGAGAGGAACAGCGCCATCACTAGCAGGTAGACGGCCGGCGTGGCCACGGGGATGTTTATCTGGGTTGTGGGGACGAGGCCGAGCGTGCGTCCTCCGCGCTGGCTCTGTCTGAGTGAGCATGGTTCTGGAGATGGAAGGGCATGACGTGGTCAGCAGTTGGCTCTGGTGGTGAAGACATCGCCACACAGAGGCCGAGGGTGGGGGTCCTAGGCAAGCTCTGTCCATGTCTGGGTCCCTTTGGACAGTGGCGCCCTCTGTGACCTCCTCGTTGTCGTGGTGAGGACCACGCCCAGCACAGCACACGAACCGCATGCAAGTCACCGCTCTCTGGCTGTGCTCCTCTGTTGGGTCCACCTTGCTCTCAGGTGGACGGTGGTTGCTGGGGGCTGGCAGAAATCGCCCTGCAGTCCACCATGTAGTGGTGAACGCAGACCTGGTGGTCATTCTGACAGTGGGCTCAGTCGCCTCTGGTGCCTGCTCTGTTGGGTCCTGATTGTGGCGTCCAGGCTAAGGTCCAGGGCATTCCTTTGCTGCCGCGTGCGGTGGACACCGGGCCCCTGGGGTGTGTGTGCACAGACTCACAGCGCGTCCTCATAGACACAGTCCTGTCTGTGGTTACAGGTGACAAAACCTCACCCAGGGCTCCAGCAGCAAGCAGACTTGCTCCCAGCCTAGCAGGTGTCCAGAGGTGGACAGCTGCGGTACTGTCCAGGCCAGCAGTTAGGCGATTTCCTCCAGAGGCCACATGCGCGTCTTCTCCAACCCCACTTCTTAACTCTGACGCCGGCTGGTGTCTGAGATCCAGTCCTGACCCGCTATCTGGAGTTGGCACGTTTCGGGGCTCTGCCGCACAAGGCTGCCTCTCTCAGGGTAGTCTGAGCACTGGGTCTCCAGGTCACCATTCGTCTGTCCACTGACAAAGTGCTCCTCAGGCCCGATGGCTTGCCCGGTCCGGAGAGCGTCATACTCTTCAGCGTGACATGTGATGAAGGGTCCAACTTGGACCGCAGGCCGAAGTGCATCAGGGGCCAGTGTGCTGGGTGTGGGGAGGGCGCCAAGGGCAGCCATGTGCTAGGGTGCAGTGCTCCCCTGCCTTCCCGCCACCCTTGCCAGCCCGTAGGCCCGCTCACCAGCCCTGCAGCCCCTAGGTGCTGTGTTCAGGACCTCCTTCAGTCTGCCTGCAGCCCCTCCCTGGAGGTCACTGAGGGGGCCGAGGATCCTCCTCTCCACCCCTCCCGAGCCGTGATGGGGCCTTCCTAGGCCACCTCATTTCACAAACCCAGGGATGCTCTAAAGAAACTTGTTAGGAATTGCAGAAGACCCTGCCGTCACCTGAGACCCTGAGGGTTGTGGGATCTGCCAGGAGCCGGAGACGAAGACCAGATGTGGCTGTGATACCTTTCCTGCCAGCCTGGGTTCTTGTCACTTGCTGCTCGCAGCTGCTGAGGCTGCTCTTGTGACTGAAGTGCCTGCCCAGGGGGCATGTCACGTTCAGACACAAAGAAGGCCTCCTTCTTGGGTCTTCTCTGGAACAGGGGAACCTTTTTAGGATCCCACTCTTGTAGATCCCCCTCGTTGCCCGAAGCCATCTGCGTGTGTGCCCCAGAGCAGTTGCTGGCAGCCGATGAGGTTGCCATGCTGAGCTGAAGTGGCCTAACTCATGCTTGACTCACCTGAGGCTCATGGGCCGCTGTGGGAGGGCAGTTTGCGGGGCACAGGCTGTGGGAGAGGCTGGGTGAGGCCCGGGCACCCTGTGTGGACTGCCGGCCGGCGGGCAGCTCTGTGAGGAGAGCCTGGAGCCAGCTGGCTGCCGTTGGTTGCCGGTTCCACATCCTCGTTCTGCTCGGACAGAGTTGTAATAATTTATCCGTGACCGGGAGGAAGGCCTCCTTAGTTTGGTGGTTGATGTCACTTTGAAAGTTGGCTTTTAGAAGCAGCTGCTTATGTTGGACATATCACACCAATTCGCTTAAAAAAAAATGCTCAAATGATAAAGATTGCCTTTTGCTTTCAAAGCCACTCAGATGAAAGGAGCGGGAGAAGTGATTTGGAGTTAAGGCTTCACTGCCTTGCCCGGCGAGCCTTCTTCATTTCACTCTGAAGCTGAGGGGGAAGCTCGTCTGAATTTCTGTCCTCCCGAAACAGCCAGGCACTTCCTGCAGTTCTCTGCTTGGACCAGCGTCTGCCCGGAGCGCGCGATGGCGCGGCCACCAGGTCACCTGCGCTACGGTCACAAGTGTAGATCTGACCAGCCCGCGGTTTCCTTTCCTTTTGTTTTTGTGGGACTGGGATTTGAACTCAGGGCTTCAAGCTTACAAAGCAGGTGCTCTGCCGCTTGAGCCGCTCACTCAGTCCATTCTGCTCTGGTTATTTTGGGGATGGGTCTCTCAAACTATTTCCTCAGGCTGGCCTTGAGTTACAATTCTCCCAGTCTCAGCCTCCTGCTTAGCTGGGATTACAGGCGTGAGCCACCAGCGCTCAGCCTGTGGTTTTCTTTTGGATCAGTTTGGAGGTGGAGTCTCAGGGAACAGCCTGTGCTGGGGGCAGGCAGTCCTTGTGACTCAGGACCCTGGGTTTCCCTGAGTGATGCAGCCACCTGGAGAGGAAAGGTGAGCTCAGGGCGTCCTGTGGAAGTCCCCAGGCGTCAGTCTTTTCTGCAGAGTGGTCGCCGTGGGCCTGTTGTTCTCAGTGATGTCTCAGAGGCTCGGCAAGGCTCCAGTACTTCCTCTGCGCCCCTCAGACGTTCTCCCAGGGCGATTTCATCCCTGTTTCCACGTGCTGGCCGTCTGTGCTCCAGCTTCATGGGGCTGTTTGGCTCTTTGCTGTGTGGCTCCTGCAGCCCAGGTACAGGTTCCTCATATTGCCCAACCACTGCCCAGCTGGCGAGCTGTGCCGCTGTGCCAGGATGAGTAGACAGGCTAGCGCCCAGCGCTCCTCACTACGACTGGGAGCAGGGTCTGCTCTTGCGCCCCAGGCAGACCTCTGACCTCTTCATCTCTGCCCTGTTGGCTTCAAGTTGAGTGGTCACTGGGAGGTCTGGACCAGATGAGCATCGTGCATGGGGACAGAGGTGTCCTTGGATTGTAGTGGTGGCTGCTGTGGTAGGGTGAACGTTTCCTGTGACCTGGTGTATTGAGTCTGTGGCCACTTTGGGTGTTCATGTGAGCCTAGACCCTCACCTGCTGACCCTTCTGAGTGTTGGGCCCTGTCCTTCTGTTCACTCTCAGGTCCCAGGAAGGAGACAGGCCCCAGGACAGGGGTGGTACATTGGCACTGGCCTTGAGGTTGAAGTGGCTTATTCCGGTTTGGCACATTGGCCCTTGTGTCCTCGTCTGGCTGCACTGGCCTTAAGGGATGGGTCTCCATTGCATTCAAGGGGCCAGGAGACTTGGTCAGGCCGAGTGGCTGCTGTGTTTCCATGGTATCTTGTGAAGGAACCACGCTTGAAATTCAGGTGAGGTGGAAAACAGGTGACATGAAGGACTGAGGGCAGAGCAAGGCCTCAGGACCGTACCCAGCGGGCAGCGGTGGCATCAATAGGGAGCTTACCAGGGCAGACTTCATTTTACACAGGGAAGTGACTGGGCTCGTTTTTGCTTCTTCCTCTGAGTGACCCATGGTCGCTGAACAGCAGACTGAGGTCCCGTCTGAGGCCATGTGTCATGGGTGTGTGTCTGTGTCCGCATGCTTCCCCACGGCCGTAGTGCAGGTCCTCCTGCTGAGCCAGTGATCCTCTGTGCCTTCTCTGCAGACAAGTGTTTGTTCACGTTGTGTCATGGCTTTTTATCGCACTCTTCAGTACCCGGCTGCCCCCGGTTCACAAGTCCCCGCTGGCTGTTTTTCTTCTTCAGCGTTTTGTGGTTTTAAACCATGCTGTAGTGACTTTTTGCAGTGCATCTTGGAACACTGATTGCTTAGCTTGCATCCCTGCGATGGAGCGGGTCAGTAACCTGCAGATTTTCACAGCTTAGCCTGGGGAAGGCAGATGTCACCCAGCACCTGTTGCACTGCTCCCCAGTAAGCAGGACAGACACCCCCAGTCTTGACACTCTTCCAGGCGTTCAGTGTTTCTCCTTTGCCTATCCGAGTACGGCACGCTGCTTCTTCCTGTGCTGGCTGGCTCAGTAACTGGGTGGCTAGTCCTGTAAGTGGCAAGTCCTGCTGGTCTGTCTCCTTGGAGTTTTGCTGCTGCCACTCTGTTCGGGCTTCGTCTCTCCGTAGTTACTGCAGTGACGCTGTCCTGTTTGCCATGGAACCCTGTCTCCTACCAGGACATTCTGAGTGGGGGTGGCTGTCGTGGAACCCCAGCTCTCTTAGCAGGAAGAGTTCTGAGCGGGGGTGGCTGCTGAGCACAGCTCCACCTGAGCTCTGTGAAGGAGATGCAGGGAAGGGGGGTGTCCTGCCCTACTGGGGACTGAGCTGAAGGCGGTCACCTGGGGTGGAGGAAGTGTTTCCTCATTGGGATACTGATGGCCTTGACCCTTGCTGCTGCCAGAGCATGTTCTGAACTCTACGCTGGGCAGTACTGTTGTCTTTCTTCATGTTTTGGGGTCCATAGGGCTGGAGGCTACAGGCCTGGTGGACTGGGGTGTTAGAGACAGGAAACTTGCCGAGCCCTTCCAAGTGGCAGGGGGTGTGGATGGGGCTCCTTCACGCAGCAGCGTGATTCACTGACGTGAAGTTCCTCTCTCAGAATGGATTGAGCATCTGTAGGAGTGTTGGGACACTTGTGTACCGTCACTGATCCATGGGACATGGTGCTGCTTTCTCTTGTGCAGTGTTGGGGCCTGAGCCCAGGGCCTCGCTCATGCTAGGTGAGTGCTCTACCACTGAGCCCCAGCCCCAGCCTTGGTGGTGTGTGAAGAGGGTCCTCTGGCTGCCTGGGTGGTCAGGAGGAGATTCTCACTCGGTGGCCAATGGGAAGGCTTGCAGAGTGTCAGCGGGAAGTGCTTCTGGGTGAGTGTGTGTTTGTGCATTTGAGCTGTCAGAGCTGGCGCTATTTTCCCTTTCTTCTCTGTCCTCTGTC